ATTCTGTGTGTAAACCTTTCTAATTGTCAAGTGTAAACATTCCACCGCAGCCGCTTACACAATCATGCATACCTCTTCACTTCTCCAACTCCAATAACGGTCTCTTTACTGTGAACCACTTTACATTCCCAGGACCGGCGGAAGCAGCTTTTTGATTGGTCTGCCCCCAACCTACCCGTTCTCACTTTGTGTATGATATGGAGGAGGGTGTGTACACATGACCTTCTCGGCAGTAGACAGTACTAAACACACGTTGGGCCCAACATGTTGGGTCCGGCCATAGCATGACCAACCGTACCGGTTTCGCCGTGCCTGATTCCACTGTGTGTATTGACCTTGTAGGTAAGAAGTCTGGCATCCTCTTCAAGAAGGGCAAAGGCAACAAGGACTGGAAAGCACGCTGGTTTGTTCTGGACGTCGGCACGGGAAACATCAAATACTACAAAGTCCAGAAGCTCAGTAAGTACACCTCTCCCTCCCCCCTGGCACCTTACATCTTACTAAACAAGTGATTCCTTGCAGGGGGGGGGGGGGGGGGGGGGGGGGGTAGCTGGTCCCCCTTTCAGGGGGTGCACGACCGCATATGTGTAAGATGGCTGGTGCATGTCATTCATAGTCATTATGTGCATGCTGAACCTAATTGAAATTTGGGGGGGGGGGTTGCACGTCCCCCCCCCCCTCCCCCCCCCCCCCTCGTGCCCCATGCTCGCTACGCGCCTGCCTTGATAGAAGCCGGGGGAGGGGGGGGGGGGGATGTGTCATCACCAGCACATCATGTTGACTGTTATTCATTCATGACCCTTGTACGGATGTACGATATCCTGTGCATGCCAGATAGCCGCTTGGTTGCTTTGACTCAACCACTGCAGAGCTAGCTTGGGCGTCTTTACGGAGGGACCATACTGTACGAGAAACACTCTCGGGTAGAACTTGACTTCGAACTTGACTTATGAGTCTCCATGGAGAATCACGTGGTCATTCGGGAAAAATTCTAACGAACGTATCAACTGCGTGTGAAGAATCTGTTGTCGAGTACGTGGGATTGGTTGCTCTAATCTATTGCTGTTCTCTGTCACCCCATTGTGCAGGATCAACCCCTGGGTGTGCTGTCCATTGCCAACATGAACGCATGCCTGGCCTCCGTGTTCACCAACCACCCGCACAGCATGCAGATCGCCGTGCCCGACACTCCCGTCTCGTCCGGCAGAACCAGGAACATCTTCGTGTACAGCGAGAAAGGCAGGGTAAGTCCTCAGGGCGGGAACACTGCGGTGGATGGGTCAGGGCCAGTTGCATCTCCCTTTTCGGCTCTGCTTTACGTTTCTCTTCAGGACAGGCGGAAGCAGTTTTCAATTGGTACGATCGTACCAAAGTCTTTCTTTCATACTTTGTGTATAATATGGCGGGTACATATGCCCTTCTCACCAGTAAACCTGTGTTGCTAGCCACAACGTTGGTCCGGTGATAACCTGACCAATCAGACCGGTTCCGACGGGCCTGCTCGTTTCGTTCGACGCTCTTGATGTTTGCACGTTGTACTGTTGAGGCAACGGACTGAAATAACAATAATAAACCATACCAACCAGGGAGCTGGTTGCACGAGCGTGTGAAACGAGAGCATTCTGGTTGAGGTCATGACGAGTGCGATTCAGCTTGACCTCGTCGAACATGCCGGATTCTGAAATCATTTTGTGCCCGACCCTATATCGGACGATGGTGAATCCTCGAGGCATTCTATACTCAAAACAAAAATTGCTTCGAACATGTACTTAGCACAATGGCGTAGTGTCATCTAGTCTGTAATGTGCCCATGCAGCTCAAGGCCTGAATGTACAGTGTGCCATGCAAGTGATCTGCTCGTCCATTCATGCATTGGCTGACAGCATGGTGATGCTCCCTTTGCGTACCAATGTGCGTGCCTGCATCCGAATGTGTGCATGTGTGTGTGCGTGTGCGTGTGCGTGTGTGTGTGTGTGTTTGTGTGTGTATGTATGTGTGTGTTTGTGTGCACGTGCGCGCGCACGTGCGTATGTGTGCGTTGGATTGAGTGCAGGATATAATTGAGTGGCTGGTCGCAATCCGCCATGCCAGGCAAGAGTTTCTCAAGCTCTCAGCCGGTGATATGGTAAGCAGAGGAGTAGCTGGTCCCCTTTCAGGGGTAGGGGTAGCTACCCCTGAAAGGGAACCAGCTGGGCCCCCTTTTAGTGGGGTGCACGGCTGCATATGTACAGGATGGCAGGTGCATGTCATTCATGGTCATTATCTATATGCTGATCCTACACGTACATGTAGGTTGAAATTTGGGGTGGGGGGGGGGGGGGGGTGTGGGTGTGTGTGTGTGTGTGTATGTGCCCCCCCCCCCCCCCCCCTGTGTCCCGTTCGGCCTACACGCCTTGGTAAGGACAGTGTGACGTTGTTGATCAATGTGCAGCCGTATTTTTTATCTGTACGAGATATCTCAAGTGGATTCATTCCTTTCAAAGAACATGGTACTAGGAGAGGTGAATTCAATGAGATTGAATTCTATTCCGGGACAGTTCTACAAGTATCGACGAAGTTGCTATAACCTTTTGCTCGCACTGATAATGAAATCTGTTTGTGATTTGTGCTGTGTTCACTTTACAGCTGACTAAGGACTTCAGCAAAGCCGGATACTTACAGAAGACTGGACCCAATGTGAGTGGTGAAGTTTGGGCTTTCATGCCGGTGTGTCCGTGTATGGATGTTGAAGCGTGCAAAAATGCAATGGGTTGAATGCCAGTAGTTTAGCATTGTCGATTGATGGAGTTCAACATTGAACATCGGGAGTGTGCCAGGACTCTATCTAACATTGCTTGTCTATGCCCAATGACTTTGGATTGCCTTTGAACAAACTCATGGCAACTGCTCCTACAGGATGGCCGTTGCTCAGATTGTGATATCTGAGCAAGCGTTGTACAAACGAGTCATAAGTTGTTATCTTATTACTTACGTTTCCTGCATGCATATGCGCATGCCTGTTGTTTTGTTGTCTTGTCTTGCTCTGAACGAGTGATATACAAGTCTTGAGTTTTCCCTATCTGACAAGTTTGTCTTGGTCTTGTGTAGTGCCTGGGTTGCATGTAACAATTTGGCGACGAAGACAACGTCCTGCGCGATGGAGGGAGATCGTGACCGTCTTCCACCATTCGACACGTCCGGACCCCCATCTCAAGTGGCTCTGAGGTGGACAAAATGGGTTCGAGCCTTTGACTATTATTTGACGGGAAAGGACATTACAAACAAGAAGCGTTCAAAAGCACTGCTCTTGCACTTCGCGGGTCTAGAAGTTCAGGATTTATTCGAGGACCTATCCGACCCAGATGACAGCCTTCCACCAGATCAGAGAACACAGAATGACAATGAGTTCCTCAAGTGCAAGCGTACCTTGCAAGCTCATTTCGGTGCTCCTGCAAACCCTACGTATGAGAGGCACGTCTTCCGTCAACTCACTCGCCGGCGGGGAGAGTCCACAGTGCAGTACTGCACCAAGCTTCGGCAGCAAGCTCGGCTTTGTTCTTTCGAGAATGAAGGACAAACTGCGGAAGCTATACGTGACCAGATCGTAGCCACAGTCGACAGCAGTGAGCTGAAGAAGAAGCTCCTGTCAGAACCAGCCCTGACTCTGCCACGAGCGTTGGAAATGTGCAGAATTTGGGAGGACGCCCAGTCCCAGTCGGAAGGAATGTCCTCAACCACTTCTACTTCGTCTGGTACCGGTTATACCGGGAGTAGTAGTATGCTTGTCAATGCCGTGCACCACCGAGACCAGAGTCACAGGCAAGCTGGACGGGGTGGATTTGTGCAGCCATCGCGTGGCCAGTCACGTAAATGCGGTGGATGTGGAGACCAGTGGCACGAGAAGCGCGAGTCATGCCCAGCTTGGGGCAAGTCGTGCCGGAAGTGTAGGAAGCCAAACCACTTCGCCAAAGTTTGCCGTTCACAGCAGTCCAGCACTGGTGGCAGTGTACACATGGTTGGCCAGTCTCAAGAAGTACATGGAACGTCGCCAGTCAACCCTGCTCCTGCTCCAAGTCATAGTGCAAGTGCTGGTACTGGTGCGAGTGTTGCATCCGGTCCTACAACTGCAAGTCCGTACAGCAGCGGCCTGGACGAGTACTATTCGTTGTACCGCACGCAGAGTGACAAGGACCGCGTGGACCCGTACTGTTGTACCCTCCAGTTATGTAAACAGCCAGTCGTGTTTGAAATCGACACGGGTGCAGCCGTGACGGTGATGTCTGAAAACGAATTTCATCGGCTGACATCCAAGGTCAATTTGTCGCTCGACACAAGTGATCTGCCGAAGCTGCGTACTTACTCCGGCGGAATTCTGAATGTCGTCGGTCGCTTTAGTGCTTCTGCGACCCATGCTTCTCGTAAATCAGCAGAATTGTCGATCGTCGTTGTCCAAGGAAACGGACCAAATCTCCTGGGTCGAGACGCGTTGCAACTGCTGAGGTTGAATTGGAACTTCGTGTTCAACGTGTCACGCGAGCACTCGATATTGTCAGAGTTCCCGCAGCTCTTCCGACGTAGCATGGGCACCTGGAAACATGGAAAAGTCAAATTGTCCGTGGCAGACAGCGCCAGACCCCGGTTCCTGAAGGCACGCTCTGTTCCTTATGCGTTACAAGCAGCAGTGCAAAAAGAGCTGAGTCGACTGGAGGAAGCTGGCATCATTAGTCCTGTCCAGTATTCGGAGTGGGCAGCTCCAATCGTACCCGTTCTCAAGCGGAACGGTAGCATACGAATCTGTGGCGATTATAAATGTACTATCAACCAGTCGGCAAGAGTAGACAAGTACCCCTTGCCCAACATCGACGACTTGTATCAGAAGTTATCGCAAGGCGCATTCTTCTCCAAGCTTGACCTGAAACATGCTTATCAACAACTGTTGCTCGACGACGAGTCTAAGCTGCTGACGACAATCAACACCTCCAAAGGATTGTTCGTCTACAACCGCCTACCCTTTGGCGTGTCGGCGGCCCCGGCAATATTTCAGCGCACGATGGAACAATTGTTAGCAGGTCTGTCCTTTGTCGTAGTGTATCTCGACGACATTGTTGTTTCTGGAAAGACTCGTGCGGAGCATGATGAGAATCTGAGGCTGGTCCTGGATCGTCTAGCGTCCGCGGGTCTCAGGTTGAATCGTGAGAAGTGTCTCGTGGCTCAGCAGTCTATTGAGTTCCTGGGCCATGTTATTGATTCAGTCGGCATTAGGCCGTCGGCTGAGAAAGTGGATGACCTTGTGAAGGCCCCACAGCCCAAGAATGTCCCTGAACTGAGAAGCTTTCTGGGACTCATAAACTATTACCACAAGTTCATCGAGAATCTAAGCTCAGTGTTAGCTCCATTGTATGAATTGTTATCATCAAAGTCGTGGTGTTGGTCTGATAGTCACCAGAAAGCGTTTGATACAGGCAAGTCTCTGCTGCTTTCTGAGCCGATACGTATTCATTATGATCCTAGTTTACCTATTGTCGTGTCCTGTGACGCTTCCCCGTATGGTGTTGGCGCAGTTCTGTCGCATGTTCTGCCAGATGGGTCTGATCGGCCAGTAGCCTTTGCATCTAGAACGCTGTCGTCTTGTGAGAAGAATTACTCGCAGCTTGACCGTGAGGCCTTGGCAATGGTATTTGGCGTCTCCAAGTTCCACAAGTACATCTTCGGTCGCAACTTTACACTACAAACAGATCATAAGCCACTGCTGGGATTGTTTGATCCTGCTAGACCCATTCCTGTTCAGTCTAGTGGTCGTATTCAGCGATGGGCACTCAAACTAGCCAATTATGAATTTGTTCTGGAGTACAAGCCTGGGAAACAGAACGGTTGCGCTGATGGGTTGAGTCGCCTCCCCAATCCGGCGCTGGTACCGGAACCGCCGCAGCCAGCCGAGGCTGTACTATCGCTATCCGTCTTGAACACTACACCGGTTACGTCTGCATCGGTTGCTCGCTGGACGAGCAAAGATCCGTCCCTGGCATTAGTATACAAGTTCGTGTCTGAGGGCTGGCCCCAAGACATTCCAGAGGGATTAGAGCCATATTCCCGTCGTCGTAGTGAGCTGTCTGTCTTGAATAACTGTATCCTAATTGGTTCCAGGGTAGTTATTCCTTCACCGGGTCGTGCACCATTGCTGGACGAGTTGCACGCCGGTCATCCCGGTATCGCTAGAATGAAAGCCCTGGCACGCAGCTATGTCTGGTGGCCGTCTCTCGATGCAGAAATCGAACAGACCGTCCGTGGTTGCACGCAGTGCCAGACCGTCACCAAGTCGCCGCATCGCCAGCAAGTCCACCCATGGGAATGGCCTGGTAAGCCTTGGTTACGTGTCCATGTCGACTTTGCTGGACCCATCGCTGGTAAGATGCTCTTCATTATTGTCGATAGTCATAGTAAATTTATTGAAGCACATGTTTGCTCTGGCTCATCTGCTGCTGTCGCAATTCGCAAGCTGGAGCAGACCTTTGCTCTGCTTGGCTTACCTTATAATATTGTTTCTGACAATGGCCCTGCTTTTGCAAGCAGTGAATTTCGTGAGTTTTGCTCATCTAATGGCATACGTCACACTCTCGTTTCACCATATCATCCGTCTAGTAATGGCTTAGCCGAGCGCGCAGTACAGACGGTGAAGTCTGGCTTGGCCAAGATGTCTGGCCCTGATTTGGAAACCCGCCTTGCCAGGTTCCTGTTCCAATACAGAATGACGCCGCAGTCAACAACAGGTCGTTCTCCGTTTGAGCTACTTTGGAAGGAACATCGTCCCCGCTCACGTCTGGATCTCGTGTTCCCGGACAGCGGCAAGAAAGTCTTGGACAAACAGTGCACTGCCCATGATCGTGGTGGTGCAAATGCATACCAGTTCTATTGTGGTGATGCCGTCTGGGCAATGAATTTCAACTCCTCACCGAAGTGGATAGC